ACAATTTAATAATTTATTCGCACATTTCAAATATTTAGATTGTTCGCCTCCTTTTTCATTTGAAAAATATTTTCTACACTAAATCAGTCGTGATAAAATAATGTTTTGGCGCTTCTAACCTATATATTAAAACAAAAAAAAAAGTTTATGATTTAAGAAAAATACTAAGAAAATTTTTAAACTTACTTAAAACTAAAAATGTTACAATTAAAATATTTCAATGTCAATAGGGAAAAGAATCCAATACCGTTTGAAATTTCTTGAATAAATTTAATTACTCGCTAGTTACTCATCGACTTCGACATATTTAGTTACTCGCTAGTTACATGGCTTTTTGTATTTAAGTTACAGACTTTACGAGTTTGCTTTGAATCATGTTTTACAAGCCGCCTGGGAGTATTTAGCATTTTGTATTTGAAAAAATGACTTTATTTTATATTTGAATCGCGTTTTACAAGCCGCCAGGGAGAAATGACTTAATGACTTTATATGTTTGTTATGAAAAACATTTGATAACAATGTTATGCTTTGATTTTTACGTTTTTTGGCATCTAATTATACACATTAAATAGCTTTTGCAGACATTAGTTACTTTATAATTTTACGGAAATATATATATATATATATATATATATATATATATATATATATATATATATATATATATATATATATATATATATATATATATATATATATATATATATATATATATATATATATATATATATATATATATATATATATATATATATGGCCGGCGCGATAGGGGGTGTGGCGGTGTGTGATACCCCCCCCCCCCCCCCCCCCATCAATGATTTTTAGTCGGCAATCTGGACCCTTTTAGATTAGTCGGCAAATGTTGTCATGGCAGTCGGCAAATTTTGGAAAACGAGGACTTTTTTTTTTTTTTTATGTCGGCAAAAGTTGTAATGGCACACACCCCCCCCTACGTGACACCTACTCGCGCCGGCCCTATATATATATATATATATATATATATATATATATATATATATATATATATATATATATATATATATATATATATATATATATATATATATATATATATATATATATATATATAAATATATATATATATATATATATATATATATATATATATATATATATATTTATATATATTTCCGAGCATGAAGAGAACGCCTTATCCAAAGCAGCTAAACGCGCAGTTACTGACTCAGACAAAATAAATATTATTATATGATAAAATGGTGTTAATCATCATGCATGTTTTAAGTGAACGTTATAGTTGTTTTCCCATTAAGATAAGGCCATGTAAAAAATGTGTATCTAAACAGCATTGAATAGTTGAAGGTTAATAAATATGTATACATGTGTGTACGCCTTACCGAGTTTTTCATCCATTTAAAACAAATATTATTCAGTATAAAAATTAATTCCATTAAATTAAAATAAATTAATATAATATTAGTAAAAAAAAATTAAATAAACAAATATATAAATAAAACTTTTTTTTTTAAATAATATAGAATGTTGAGATTTCGCATGTACTAAATGTTTTAATTGAAAATCACGGTTGTTTTAATTGAAAATCAAATTGAAGACCTTGCTATGAAACCTCTAATGTCACAGACGATGTTTTTTTCAGGAGAGCATTTAAACTGAATATCATGGTTCCACTAATATATTAATATCTTTTAAATGTCAAATCATAGAACCACGTTTTGCGCACAGAATAAGTTTAACGAGTAATATTAATATGGAGAAATTTGACTATAAAAGGAGAAATAAAAACAACAATAATGATCGGTTTTCTTTTTCTTTTTTCTTTTTTTTTTACAGTTTATAAAGTGGAAGAAAAAGATGTGTATTTTATGAATATTTTTTATTTATAAGTAACTATACATAATAAAAAAAAAAAAATTAAAGAGACGACCACAAACTACAATGCATTATAAAGAAACTGAAATATTATAGCTAAAATATTATGTTATTTGAATATGAATGCTAATCTGTGTCAGTTAATCCCTCGCTAAATCATGTTCATCAGCATCTACCATATCACTATCACAAGGCAAATTTTCATAAAAGTAGGCATTTTAAAGATTTTGTAAATATTGACAATTTTATAGCATCTTTTTTTTTTTTTTTACCCCTTTTATTGGAATCAAACCATTATCAGACAGTTTGTAGGAAATCGTTGTAGGTATTCTGTTTTTTTTTGACTTGTCGTAGTTTAAAATTTTTCCTTAAGCAGGGCTTAAACATGTCTTTTGTATTAAAAAGGTGTTTCTGTTTTGGTTTGAATGAAAATTTTTGGTGTTTTCCCTCATCCATAATAACTTTATCCCAATCTTTAGGTATATTTGCCATGATTGTTTTTCTTGCATTGCTAAATAGACGGAAATCTGCATCATTTGGCAAAAAAGGGTGGTCTCTAATAGGAAAAATGGGAATTACAAGACCAATTTTTTAAGTACATGTACTAGCATATACCAAAACTAAATCATGACCAAATTTTTATTTTTTCCAAAACATCCATCACTCAAAATATACAGGGTTTTTATACCCTGTGGCAAATGTTTATTTAACCAGTGGAGTAACATAGGTGTTGCATCGTTTTGCCCAAGTTTCGCCACTCCTTCATAATAAGAACACATGAAAACATAATTTCGGGGTAAATAATGTATTCCAAATATATAGTAATATAACTGCCTAGAATAGAACGCAGCATTTGTAACCATATTTGGCAAAGACAAATTTTGCATGAAGCCGAATGATATAACAGTAATATCAGTAAAAGCGCTCGCTAGTAGTTTTAATCGCTTTTTATTTGTAAACTCTTGAGCTCTTGCCAAATGAAGCTTGTGTTCTTTTTCCAGTTTTCGTTTGTCTTCTTCAGGATAATCAAAAACTTGAAGTTTTTTTTTTTTTTGAATTACAGTATGAACATGTGTCACTGCCAGGAGATTCGAAGGATAGAGCGTTCTTGGTTGTACAATTTATTGTTTTATTTTATACCTGCAATCATTGCCAACAGTTTTAGCAGGGAGATTACTTTTCTACATGATTAACATGACCAGCGCTCTTTATTTTTGCAATTGTAATCAAGTTCTACTTGCTGTGGTTAATTTTCGTCGTCCTGAGTTTTTCAGACACTTGAATTCTTGAACTTTCCATTATAAACCCTGCAAAAACTTATAAATAACCAGAGAACAGCATAAGAAACATCATTGATAAATGTCAAACAATAAGTGATTATACCATCGTACAGCGGAAAAAAAGCGAACATTTGCTCTTTTTAAACAAACCAGTTGTGACTATTGATGTTTTTACAAAAATACCTTTTTTTTAACAGCCATTTTGAAGGACATATAACTTTAAAGAAATATTTAACAAGTGTCAATACATGGACTTATATATAGGCAATCAAAAAATAACATAAACCCAATTTGAATAAAAGTAAACATTTGAGGTTTTCATTTCAAGTTCTTCAATTGTTTTAATTGATTGTCACGATATTTTAAATGAATGTCATGTTTTTTTAAATGGATGTAAAAATCGGTATATATATATATATATTTTTTTTTTATTATATTATATTTTATTAATCATTTTATACTTTTTATTTAAATTATTTTATATTTTCATTGTGAATGAACAGTTATCCTAATATAATGAAATATACAATTCTTTGATTTAAATTTTTCCTGGGAAATTAAGATAATTTTTCCGCTTAACGAAAAATGTAAAACAAAAAATTCCGGGCGGGAATTCCCGGAAAGAGCCCTCTAAGTATTAATAATAATAACACTTATTATTGTTAATAACGCTATACTATTCGTTTTGTTTTTATTACAATGCTATTTTTATAATTATTATTACAATAATTATATTATTGCTACAGTTATGTTTATTTTTACTGCAATTATTCAAAACTGTATAATAATTATTTTTGTTAAGGTGATTATTACTATTATGTATTTAATCGGGAAGTTCACGCCACCTTCCTCACCATGACGCGAAAAATTATATTATATAAATATATCAAATTATATTATATAATTAAATTATATAAATATATATTAGTAATATAATTGTAGTTAACAATAGCATTAGCAATATTAAATCACAAAAGCTGTAATTTCTTATTATACATTATTTGAAACTATAATATACAAACTTTGATTATAATTTCATCGATTAATATTTTTGACTGGAAGTAGTTTTAAAATGTTTCAAAAAAGAAGTAAAGACAAAGGTCATTAAGACTTTGATCTCACTGGGTCCAATTCCCTGAGCATTTAATTTAACGTAATAGTCATAATCAAAAATGGTTGCTTAACACCATAAATAGGCTACAGTCTAAACTGTAAACTTATTTCTAAACAGTATTTTGTACTTTTAATGAATTACTGGGGGAAAAAAAGCAACCGTGATGTAGTGGTTAGATTTTTGGCTTCAAAACTGGAGGTCCCTAGTTGGAACTGAAGAAATGAAGCAGCCGTGGCGCAGTGGTAGCGCATTTGCCTCAGAAACGTAAGATCCGTGGTTCAAACCCCATCTCTGGGCAAGTTTTGCGACATCGGTTGGGAAGGAGGCGTGAACTTCCTATTGAATGCTTTTCCGCGGTGCTCTGTAATAAGACCGTTAGGACTTCTTGGGGCACCTTAATCAACTTAAAGAAAAAAAAAAAAAAAAACTCGGCTCTGGTCATATATGCCTCATAGGTTCGGAAAAAGTCGTGAATTTCCTGGTTAAACGCGCGCTTTGTGATAAGACCGTTAGGACTTCATGGAGCACTTAAATAATAAATAATTATTTAGCTCTGTTCTAAGAATCAAGACTACGTTATGCACTGTCAAAAGCTTTAAATAAGAAAAAATTTTAGAGAAAAATTTTAATATTTTTTTTTATAGCTATAAAAAAATTTTGTTTGCTTTTTAAAAAAATATTATTAAAACATATAAAAAACTATTAATAAACTACATTAAAAAGATGAGTTATTTCAGGCATTTGTTCAACAGACTATTGGGAAGAAACATTTACATATGATGAAAGTAATAAGCCAATAGCTAGAAAAGAAGTCTTACTTGCAGGAACAGTGAGAAACAGTCAGCGTAAGATTTTTTTGTTTTTTTTTTTGATTTTTTGATATTTATTACAATATATAAGATAAATATACAAAATAAATAAATGAAGAAAAATTACAAAAGAAAGTATTGTTCTAATGTAAAGAATAAGAAATAAAGTATAAAGAACGCGGATACTCCAAGATGATAATCAGGTCTTGTCACAGAGAGTGAATTTTAATTTTTAATTTAAATATTTTTAAATATTATATTTTTGAGTAGCATAAAAAGGATATAAAGTAGCTAAAAATAAATGGCTAAAAATAATAATTTTATATCGTATGTATTTAATAATAGTTTAATTTAAATTTAGCGTATCTAATTATTGGCATTCCGACAGTTTACCGAATCTATAATGATACACCAGCTGTATATATAACAAAGACTTTAGAATCTCTCATTACACCTCTTACTAATCAAGATAAAAAAACAGTTCAAATTATAATATTTATTGCAGACGAAAATCCTATTAGAAGAAGATACTTATACGAACTTATAAAAAATAATTTTGAAAAGGAACTATTGGAAGGACTTATAAACATCATTGGAGCACCAAGAAGGTTTTATTTACCACTTAATAACATACCAGTCACTTTAGGTGATTCAAAAGAGCGTGTATACTGGCGCTCAAAGCAATGTCTTGACTATGTCTTTATGTTTGATTATGTTCACAATCAGTCCAAGTATTACATGCATATAGAAGATGACGTAGTTGCTAAAAGTGAATACTACGAAATTGTCAAGCATAAAATTTCATTTAGTGATATCCAAAGAGAATCATTATTGCCCTGGAATCAGAAAAAAGTTTTAATTAAAAAGGCTTGGGTTGTAAAAAATTTTTACATTAGTGGCTTCATAGGGTGTTTGATACCTTCAACCTATTTACAAACTATGGCAGCATTTATAAAGATATTATACTATGAAGCACCGGTAGATCTAATTTACCCACAACTGATTGAGTTAATGAAAATTAAAATTGAGCAGCATGAGTCGTTATTTACACATATAGGATTTCAAAGCTCTTCTTTAGGAACATAAACATAATTTAATGATTATTAATTTAAAATTAAACAGAAAAATTTTCAATTTTGATTTTATACTCAGTTTTTTTATTGAGTCTTAATATTACAACCCCCCCCCCCCCATACACACACACACTTAAACACACGCGCACACGCATACACATAAACATAAACAAACAAACACATATTTGAAAATATATATTTATATTACCATAGTGCTAGAAAGCATATTATATACATTTTAGGTTATCGCCTTTTTATCTATTTTTTTTTGTCATTTTACATTGTTATCGTTGAAGTTATAACTTATATTTTACAATCGAAGAGATTCAATCTGATTCGAACCACTAATTTTTTTATTGCGTATAAATGATTTATACTTAGCAACAAATTTAAATTTTATAATTTTTGCAGATGACTCCGATCTTTTTTATTCCGACAGACATAAAAATTCTTTTTAATTTAATGAAGAACTTTTCAAAATAAATGAGTAGTTTGAAAATAATTGATTCTCATTGAATGTGAGAAAAAATAAAATTTTATTTTAAAAAACTTGTAAAGGGATAAAATATAATAGAATAAAAAAAACCCAAGTATTTACCCCTAGGAAACATCACAATTTAATTGCGTGCATATTAAATCATATGAAGTTCTTTATTTAAGATTTTTCAAATAACTTACATGTAAAGGGATCTCAGAATGTTAGGTGTTTTTTAAGATTCTGCTAAACTCCAAATACTTGAGTATATACTTTGTTTTTACTTCTGTAGGTTAAAAAAACACACCTGCTAGATTGCCAAAAAGTTTTAGTAGTTTTTTAATACAGTTTTTATATGTTTTTAAATAAATATTTAGGACATGCTTTTTTCGTTCGGGACCTTAGAATGTCAGGTTAAATAAAAGGTAGTATTGTTGCCAATATTGCTTCGTTAATCATGAATTTCTGCATATATTATTTATTTTTAATGCCGAGTATATTTTTAAATGGTTGGTTTGTTTATCTTTTATGCTTTTTTCATTCCACCACACAATGCTAGGTTAAGGGACCTCAAAACGCTAGGCAAATGAAAGTTAATTTATATATAAAAAAAAAAGTTATTTGCATTCAATTTCTTCTTGACGTTATAAAATGGATATTTTGCTTATATTCATGACGAAACTAAAGTGCGTTTTCTAAAGTATACGACGTGCGTTTTTATATTTCTTTGCAGTATAGAATAAATAAGAAATGGGAAAGTTCTTTATAATTAAACCAACAAGCAAACTAAGACGCAATGTTCTAATAGATGTCATAGTGATGAAAAGTAAGCAGTTAGAGGCAGAGCCGTCCCAAAGAGGTCTTCTATGAGAGGGGGGGGGGAGGGTATTTTTTTTTTTATGCCAACTAGAAACACCAAAAAAAAAAAAAAGTCCTCAATATTTGTAATTTGCCAACTCTAGTTCAAAACTTGCTCAATATGCCAACTCAAATGCTTAAATGACAGCTTTGAGGGGGTGGGACACCCCCCTTTCGGGACGGCCCTGGTTAGAGGAAGCAGTTGAGTGGTGCCAAATTAACAATAAACGTGGTTGAGCTGCAATTAATTCAGGAAGATTTCCACTAATTAAAGATCTAAGAACAATTAACAAACGGATTGATGGTTTTATTGTAGCTGGAAACGAGAAGGAATATTGCTCAATTTTTACAAAAGATGAAGAAGAATCGTTAGTCTGTTATATAAGAAACAAAAATAGGTAATATGTACACATAATTAAAAAATATATTTTTTTTTTTTATAAACTGTTATTATCTATAATAAATTCCTGGCTTTCAAATTGTTAATTAAGAAAATTAAGCTCATACTGTTTAGTTTTCTTGTATTGTTATTTAAATAATTTATTTAGGTGCCTTCAAGGTTTAAACAAGTCAGAGTTGACAATGATAATGTTGAATGTTTTGGGAGTAAGAAAGCCTGTAGTGACTTCCGTGGAAGTCAGATTACTAAGTTAACACCAAATGCTCAACGAACACTCCAAACAAAGAAGCTTAGCAAGTCGTTTTGAAAGCATTGGGGTGCAAATTATCAAAAGTACATTACCAAAAAGAGACAAGGAACTGTATCCATGAATCGTGGCCTTAAATGCACAAAAGAAATGGCATGTAATTACCTTAACGAATTAGCGGAAGAACTTATAGAATGTAATATTTTCATTGATGAAAATCAATTAGAAACAGGTACATGGCAGGAAGATATAGATACCACTAGAATTTATAATCATGATGAAACCCCTCAGTTTATAAACTATGGAGTTGTGGTACTCCAAATGCTTTAGTGCATGCTGGGAGAGGGGAAAGTTGTCAAAAGATGATAAGAGAAAATAGAGAATGCGTAACCATACATCCTTTTGCTTCCTTTGGAGGAGATATAGCAATGTGCCACGTCATATTCAAAGGAAAAAAGATTAGTACTCACATGGCTCCAAAAGAAACAGTTATACGAATTCCAAATCTTCTAATCTCCACAAATGACAGTGGAAGTCAGAATCACAGTACACTTCTAAGTGCAAATCAAATGTTTGACCACTTTTTAGAAAAAAACAACATAAAACGGCCTGTTGTTGTCCTATCTGATGGTCACTCTTTAAGATTTGACAGAGGTGTGTTGACATTTTTAAGAAGCAAAAATATTAGACTTTTTATCACTCCACCCAACATAACTGACGTTATCCAGCTCCTTGACCAAATCAATCAGAAATTGCACTCTGAGTACAGAAGTACTAAATTTGTACTTTATTCTTCGTTTATGACAATCAACAGAGAAGGTTTCATGAATATACTTGCAAAGTTATGGCTAGAGTGGGCCTCAAAACAAACAATCATAAATGCAGGTAAAAATATTGGCATTTCAAGTGGAGTACTCAGTGTTAAGTGGATGCAGGAAAATAAGTTTTTACAAGCTGAGCTGTGTATTAATGAAAATACCGAAAATAATCAATAATCAACAGCCCTAACAATTTCATCTTCAAAAAATGTTTACTGTGGTTTAGCAAGATTTTGGAGACATAAATACAAAAGTGCTTTGGAAGCTTATCAAACGATATCTGATAAATCAATATCACTGGAAGAAATACATAATTTGTGGCCTATAACCAAAGTAACACCTAAAATAAACAAAAAAATGTTAGAGTTACCCAGGTTCACGGGTCGATGGAGGGGAAAAAAATATTGGAAACGGTTTATTCAATCAAGGAAGACAAAGCCAAAAAAAAAAGCTAATCAAGAAAGGAATTCTAAGCAACAACAACAAATTGAGGCATTCTATAATTGTAAGGAAGAATGTACCTGTGGAAAGAATGTTTGTGCAGCAACTAAGCCTCGAGAATGCTCGTGTTGCCATAATATTTTGAAATCTACATGTAGTAAAGCATCATGTCAAGGTGAAACAGGCTTAAAATCAAATATGATCGAACCATTTTGTTAAATAGGACCCAAAAAATGCCTTCAGTTTGAGTCTAATGAAGATAACGTTGAAGACTTCATTCCTTTTTACTGATTTTATCCAGAATACAACCTAGAGTTCTCTATTTGCTGATATTTGATTGAAGTTTGCCTGGATCTTATTTTTATATTTTTTGTTCAATTTCTTTTAAGTTTGTTAATGTTATTAAAAAAAGTAATCATTGAAGTTTGTTATATAGTTTTTGATTTGGTACCTCAAAACGTTAGGTGCAGCACCTCAAAATGCTAGGTATTTTAAAATGCGATTTAAAGAAAATTGGATTTGTTCTGTGCCCGCATCTTTTTAGCACTGTTTTTGGAGTCTTAATGCAACATTTTTTTTTTCTTATTTTCAGAAGGGCTTGAAATGTTAGAAATTATTGTTAAAAAAAGTGTAAATAGCTTGTAGATTTTTTTCAACGTCTTTGTAATTTAGAGTATTTTTTAAGTATTAAATGTAATATTTTTTATTTATGACTTAACATTATATTATTTATTCAGATAATTCAACGCTTTCAGAGTTTATTTTAAAAAATCGAGTTCTATGTTGGTTTATTTCTAACCTGACATTCTGAGGTCCCACTGCATTCTGAGGTCTTTTTACCTGTAGCAGCCTTTTTAAGTTGGATGGTGCAACTCCGTAGTTGCATAATTTGTCAATAAATTTTGAGTTTTTTAGTATCAAATGCTTTAGATAGATACAAAAAAATTCATAGTGTATAGCTATTTTAATTTTTCAAGGAAGGCGGCATTTTTGAGTGAAAGAATGAAAATTATGAAAAAAAGTTTTTTAATAATGCGCAGTGTGCCAGAAATTCACTTTTCCTGGACGAATTTAATAACTCGTCATATAAAAAGGTTTAAGAACTATTATTGCACTAAATTAGAGAACTTTCTTAAATAAACCCACAGAATCTACAAAAATATAACGAAAGATTCCAAAAGAAATCAGTGGAAATTTTTTTATTTTATGTTTTTGTTATCTTTTTTCTAAAATTACGTAAGTTTTTGTACAGAAAAAGGGGTCTTGTCGTAATAAACTAAGACTCCTTTGCTTCCCTTAGGCTTACTTTAATATTTTCTTGAAGAAACCCACAAAATCTACAAAAATATAACAAAAGATTACAAAAAAAAAATCAGTGAAAACCTGCTTTTTTGAAGTTTCTGTCAAATTTTCAAATTTAAGTAAGTTTTTGTACAGAGAAAGGGGGTTTTGTCGTAAAAAACGTAGGCTCCTTTGCTTCTCTTAGGTTTACTTTAATATTTTATTGAATAACCCACAGAATTTACAAAATTTAACAAAAGATTCCTAAAGAAATCAAGGAAAAACTTTTTTTTTGATGCTTTTGTCATATTTTCTAAAATTAAGTTTTTGTACAGAAAAAGGGGTTTTGTTGTAAAAAACTTAGGTTCTTTAGCTTCCCTTAGGTTTACTTTAACATTTTCTTAAAGAAACCCACACAATCTACAAAAATATAACAAAAGATTCTAAAAGAATCAGTGAAAACCTGTTTTTTGATGTTTCTGTCATAATTTTTAAATTTAAGTAAGTTTTTGTACAGAGAAAGGGGTTTTGTCGTAAAAACGTAGGCTCCTTTGCTTCTCTTTGGTTTACTTTAACATTTTCTTGAATAAACCCACAGAACCTAAATAGAGAATTGCGGTTTCAATGTTGATATTATTCTTAATTTTGGATTGCTATAGATCGCTAAATGGCCTTGCAACCAAATATTTTATTATGCATATTAACTTAAAAAAAGTAATAGCTTTTAAAAATTTTATCGGATTATTCCCATAATTACAACATTAAGTACTTTTTATACAACAATTGTGTTTTAAAACTATGGATTTTTTTTGGGTTGATAGTGACACATGAAGTCCTGTCAACCGTTCATTTTGCGTAGTTACTAGCTTAAGTAAATTTCGTAAAACGCCAAATGTATAAACTAGACTAATATTAATTTAGCAGACTGATTGATAAATATTTTATACTGCTCAAAGATTAAACACACAGCCAATTAACAATTTTGTACTGCTCAAAAATTAAACACACAGCCAGTTAACAGTTTTATACTGCTCAAAGATTAAACACACAGCCAATTAACAATTTTAGGTGTTTTTATCACCACTCAAAAGCATGAATAATCAATGATTTTATAATTACAGAAGCAGCTGCTTCTGTAATTATAAAATAGCATAGTCCAATAATTGTTGTAAAATGTTAAAAGATGTTTTCCAGCAATTAGTATTATCCCTAGATTGCTACATGTACTGCATATTGTAAAATATATGTACTGCAATTATAAGAATTTTAGCGCACAAGGTATTTTACTATAACAAATCATCAAGGTTTGTTTTATTAATTACGCAATGTCATAGGATTTTAGAATGTAGCAATATCATGCTTGGGCAAATTTAATGTTACTTGAAAAAAAGATGACTAGCTAACTAGTAATTACTAATTACAAATCAGTAGTTGAATTAGGGTGTGAATTATAAAACTAATTTGGCTTTTCGTCAACTTAATCAAGTCTAAACTTTAAAATTATATTATAAACAATGTTTAGTTTACATTAGTTTTTACTTTGGATTATAATAAAATTAACATTTAGTAATTACTAATAATAAACGGGAAGTTGATTTTATTATATATATTAGCTTATTACGTTTAAATTAATTATCCATTTTTAGAAAATAGGCAAACTATAGTTTAAAAACATAATCTGTTCTCCATGCTCAGGCAACAGCCATTTTTCTTTTGTTTCTCTTAACGGATGAAGGAGGTGCGCACAAAATTTTGATTGAGAACCTAACCGAATCCAACTTGTTAGTGTCTTTATTGGAGCAGGTGTAATTGTAAACACCCCACCATTTATAAGGGCATTGATTTTTTGGTAATGTTGATACGCTAAAGTTGAAGTTGACTTTGTCCATGTTGAATCAAAACTATGAACCAATTTAAAGTTTAAACTAATATTTTAAATCTTTAATCAAGTAAGGGAAAAAGAATACTCTTTTTTAACTTATAAATAAACATTTATAGTTGATAAATAATTATGTTTTGCATGGAAAATTAAAAATTTTAAATGCAAACAGACCCGTAACTACAGGAAGAGACGGCCTGCCTGTATATAGTTTGTGCCTGCTAACAGTAATCTTTCCATTATATAAATATAATATAATTTGTTCACAGCAATTCTGGTGTGCAAATAAACCTGTAAATAAATTTCTATTAACAGGGCTGAATGCAACATAAAAATTAATTTTAAAAATAACATAAATTTTTAATTAAATTTGTAATAAATAAAAAAAATTACAATTTTATTTAGATATTTTTTATTCGTACGATTTTCCTTTTAAATTTTGAGTTTTTCCTCTCGGATTTTTACAATTATATATTTTTTTCCTTCCATCAGTGTTTTCACATTTCTGTGAAGCATTTTCATTTATACCCATTTGGTCTAAGGAGCTGTACATGTCCATGCTTTCTTTTTTGATTGGACCATCACGATCGGAGCCTTTAACGAAATTAAATTCTTTTGCTTGTTGTAAATGATCATTTACAACAAGCAAGTAAATTTTATATCAAGGATACTACCGCTTTCATTTAAAGGATGGATATTCCAAATGAAAACGGTAGTACCCTTGATATAAAATTTCCTTAAATATGTTATGATCTGTTTCTTTAAAAAATTCATTTGTAACGGGGTTTGAGAATCATTGCAATTTTCAGACGAACATTATCTTTGTAATAATGAAATCGACTTTTAAAATCAGTTTTAATTTCATCTATAAAAGTTGTGATTCCAGTTGATTTGCCCCTAGCATAGTCAAGAAACGTATGATCTCTGCTTCTGCTCTTAACTTTCGTAGCGCTTTCAAAGTGTTTTAGTATGCATACAATTATTGCAGCATGCTGCCATTGATTTTCTGCAGGTTATCTGCGCAGATAATCTGCAGAAAGTGAAGTATGTTAGCGAGCCGACATACTTCACTACCTATCATATACACAAAAATTGTATAAATAAAACTTATATAACCTAAATAACTAACAGCGAATGTATTCCCGATTAACTTTTTATGAAAAGTAATAATTAAAGCAATTATAAAAAAACAACCAACAAACAATTATAAAGGATGAAAGCAAACAACAAATTGCAATGAATAAAAACAACCAATAAACAATTATAAATGATCAAAACAACTAATAAATATTTATTAGCATCAAAATATTTGAAGCGTTCAGGGGAAAAACGATGAGATAACCAAAAATCTCATTTTGAGATATGAGCAAAAAAACTTTCACAACTGATAAAAAACGTGCGCGTATATTAAGTGCATATAAAATAACTATTCCGAGATATAGACTTTGTAGAATCAAGTCCACTAATGCGTTTTAAACGGTAATAACGTGTATTTATCATTCTTAAATTATCTATAAAAAAATGATTATTAACGTTAAATTAATACTAATTTAAGCAATAACTTACAGTAAAAAATTTATAGAGAGACAATGTATGACTCCACGCTGTAAAGGGATGGGATGGGCAATTTTAAAACGCTTTTTTCGTAGGATTGCCATTATTTTTTCCCTTTAGCAATACGATATTCTGAAAGAGGACAAAAAATGCTACTAGATGGCACTAGCACAATTTTTTTAGGCAAATTTGGAATCTCATCGTTTTTCCCCTGGACCCTTCATTTATTAGCATCAAAACTAAACATCAAAACTAAATTTGTAACCAAAAACTTTCGTTATTTCAACGTTTAAGATTCAGACACTTACAATATAAATAAATTTATAAAGACACTTATAATCAGTGATCATCCAGGTCATTTTTTAAAAATCCGGAAAATATAGTTTATGTAAAATATCCGGAAAAATCCGGAACATATTTTCCCTTACTAATCTCCTAATTTTGCTCTCAGCTGGTAGGTTTCAGAACTTTTATAGACATTTTTGACATTTTTTTTATGGCTGATCACTGAAAACGAAAAGTGTATATACATTAAAACAAATATTATATAAACTTGAATGTATGAGAAAACATTTTGGATATCCGGAAAAACTATTTTTTGGAAAAAATATCCGGAATTCCGGAAATATCCGGAAAAAGATATTCCCTGTATAATACATAAAAAAATGTAATAAATGATGCTAGAAAAAAATGTGCTATAATTGCTACTGAAAGACATATCACAAACTTTACCAGAAAAAACAAAAAACGATTTATTAACGAACAAGACCGCCAAGTTTAACTCCATAATTCTTACTTACAATGTGAGCTATCTACCGCTGCGGCATTAGCGTTCCTAAAACAGCAAAGTGAGCGTGAAATGTTTATATTCTAAGAACTTTTCATGTTTATAAAAACTTATACTATGAAAATAACTATTTTTTTACGTCTCAGTATAGACACTCGTAGCAACTCTTCTTAAACAACATCTAAATAAAAACTCGATAAAACTATTTAGCTTCATTTACTGTTCTATTTAGAAAAATTTTAATATTCACTAATTTTGATTATTTTGACAAACAAAGTATTAATTTTTTCACTACTCATTGATAATTTGAAAAAACTTAAAACTAAAAAACGTTTTTTAATTTAGAAAATGTTTTTCATTCTGCAGCTAATTGATCAAATTATTGTAGCAAAAAAAGAAACACTCTGTTGAAATGAACATAAAAAAACTATAGAAATTTTTAAAGTCGGACTTTAGGTTGTTCATAATTTTACTTAACATTATATAACGCATCTGTTTTAATCTTATTTACAAAAAAAAAAAAAAAAAAAAAAAAAAAAAAATATTATAATATTTACAAGATTATAATTTTATTGATTAGCCACCTAAGTCCACTATATTTAGCCACTTAAGTCCACTATATTTAGGGTGACAATAAAAATATAATAATATTTACAAGATAATGATTTTATTGATTAATTTAGCCATTACATTTAGCCACCTAAGTCCACTATATTTAGCCACCTAACTCCACTATATTTAGGGTGACAATTATCATGGTTTTTACGTAAGAGAGCACAGCGTTTTCCTAAAGCTTTATCGAGGTGCCTGAAAAGTTTCAATATTATGTATTATGTCCCTTTATTATAAAACGAAATGAAACTTTATTCAATTTCCCTATTACCTAATTAAAAAGAAATTAGGGAAACTGAATAAAACATTTCGATTTATGATGAAAGGACATAAAATCAAAATAAAATTAATATCCTACTTTCCAATCTTTAAACTGAAAAGTAAGACAATAACAGAAAATACCACATTTTCTGTTATTATATAATTTTTCAGTTTAAAGACTGGAAAGATGGATATTAATTTTATGGTGACTTTATATATAAATATATCATATTATTATATATATCATATTATGATACACTAAATTATAAAAAACTAAAAACAAAAAGTTATAAAAGATTTTCTTTTAATCTAATTTCTATTCCACCATTGCTTTGGCAAAAAGCCTTCAGGTTCTTTTATTCTTCCTTCTTTAACACAAGCGTCTAAAAACATTTTTAATCGGATAATCATAGGTTTTCCATCATTAGAAGTCACTTTTATAACCTTAGGTAAATAATTATCGTACAAAATAAAAAGCAACTTTTGAAATTGTTTTCCAAATCGTTTCATCATAGCATGACCAGCAACTTCTAAAAAATCATAAATAATGACCGCACTTATAGACGGACGTGGTTCTAAAGTAAGAAACCGAGTTAACCAGACCCAAGCATAGTCAAGTCCGTGCGGATGCGGCTTATCTCCAAGAAAAGGTGGCATGTCTGTTTGGACTATTGCTGCATAAAGTCGTACTATGCCAGAAATTTTTTTTAAATATTTATCTTCGTCTTCTATTTTGCCATCGTCTATATCATAGCCAATCAATTTATGATACTCTTGAATGTCCATATTTTTTGTGTATGGTATGTATAATGGCACAAGATAAGGGCAATTCCTATAAAAATGAGCAAGAATCAGCTGTCCACAGTCGGGAAAAAGGGTCCAAACGCATACTGCTATAGCTGCAATTGGGAAAGCCGTTTGGTAATTAGAGGCTATTTGGGTAGCACCTTGAAGAACTAGTTTCTTTGCCAGTAGGTTCTTACACAGAAACTAAAGTAATAAATTTTTTTTTGCATAAAAAAATCTATTATAATAACTACATGATTAAATCTATAATAATATCATTAAAAATATAATAATATTTTTATTTAGAACTTTATTTAAACTTTTAAATGAAACCAAGCTATTATTATTACTGAACTATTATATAGAAATTAAAATATTTTTAGAATATATATATATTTATGATTATATATACTATTTGTATATTAAATTATATATATATATATATATATATATATATATATATATATATATATATATATATATATATATATATATATATATATATAATGATAATATTTAAAAAATTAATATTATTGAATTATATTGAAATATGATTATATTGAAATGTAAAATGACTATTATATTGAAAACAAAAAATCTTTATTTATTATGTGTTGAAAACAGTGCAGAAACAAAAATACTTTTTTTTTTTTTTTTAAATATTTAAATGATGGAATAAAATAATTAAAGAAGTAAGCAATCTAACTTATGTCTTGTTTTTTTTTACACATCATGACAGCGTTACATTTATTGTTTAAAGGTTTTCTTTAGTATATATACTATATAAAAATATTTCTATTGAAAGCAGACAAATAATGTCCAGACTTCAAGTCTTGACATTATTTGCCTGCAAGACAAGGTAGCAGAACACTTGCCTTCGACAGAATCCAAGCCAATTGAGATTTTGAGGCCCGAAAAAACTTGTGTGTATAAAGAAACTTTGCATAAAAAATCAAATCATTAAACATTTTTGCTACAATGTAGTAAAAACTATTATTTTTTGCTACAATGTAGTTTAAAAAATTTATGAACATTTCAGACATGCTTATGAGACTTTAACTTGACTAGATATTATGTTGTGTCACTTTAATATAGGAAACATATTTTTGAAAAATATGCATTAATTCCAACATTTATGAACTAAAGTGAAAGACTTTTTTTTATTGTAAAATAGACTCGCTTCTATTTAGTAATAGTATATATCTTGCTCTTTAAGAAGCTGATATATATATATATATATATATATATATATATATATATATATATATATATATATATATATATATATATATATATATATATATATATTTAACATCCTCACTTGCAACGAGGCTGCTAACAACCACTATTAGATTTGAAAGTTACAGAAAGAGAAAAGATGAAGTTTATAAATCAAGATAATAATTAACAGATGATTGCAAACTATATAAATCAGGAAAACAAGATAAAAAGAGAGAATTCGAAAGAACTGATGTTTGAAGAAAGAATGAGACTTGATTGAATGATGAGTAACACGAGAATGAATTTTAGTTGTGCAGCAAGAGATGCTAACTCTTTAGAGCAGCACCCATTATAGTATTTATAGATAAGAGAAACAGAAGCGACATAACGATGAAGTGACAATAATTGTAGGTTGGCTGCAAGAGTAGGTCTAATTATGTTTAAAATGCATTTTTGCACCTTGTCTAAAAGAGAAAGGGCATCATTCGAAGATCTCCTCCAAATATGGCAACAAAATTCCATACAAAGACGAATTCGAAATATATATATTTCAGTTGTGGACAGGAAAGGCCTGCGATCGCACTCCAATCTTGAGCAGGCATGTAATTGTTTTATTTTAAAGCTTGACCATGGTTCTTTAGATAATTAAAAATGGGCTAAATAAATCCAACAAAGAAAAAATATTATAAACAGGCTAAACTAAATAGTAAGAAAAAAATCCTAACAAAAGAAAAATTAAAAAAAATTAAAACCTACAGCTCAAAAAAAATTAACTAATATAAATCTGAAAAATTAAAACTCTAACAGAAAATTATTTTTAATTATGTTAAAGAATCATTGAATAACTCGTCGTTTTGGTTTGACAAGTTCCTAACTGAAGCAAATAAATCTTTTTTTCTTTTTTTAAATGTCTAAATAAAAACGTTTTCATGATTATGTTTTATTTATTAATGTATTTTTATATATAAATCAAAAAAAGAATACATAAACAAATAAAAAAATAATAATATAGATAATTTTAATTAAACATTTAAAAAAATTAAAAGATTTTTTTTTTACTCCTCCTAATACAAAACCAATGTAAAGAACTTTGATCATTTCTAATGTTTAATACAAAACCAATGTAAAGAACTTTGATCATTTCTAATGTTTAATACAAAACCAATGTAAAGAACTTTGATCATTTCTAATGTTTAATACAAAACCAATGTAAAGAACTTTGATCATTTCTAATGTTTAATACAAAACCAATGTAAAGAACTTTGATCATTTCTAATGTTTAATACAAAACCAATGTAAAGAACTTTGATCATTTCTAATGTTTAATACAAAACCAATGTAAAGAACTTTGATCATTTCTAATGTTTAATACAAAACCAATGTAAAGAACTTTGATCATTTCTAATGTTTAATACAAAACCAATGTAAAGAACTTTGATCATTTCTAATGTTTAATACAAAACCAATGTAAAGAACTTTGATCATTTCTAATGTTTAATACAAAACCAATGTAAAGAACTTTGATCATTTCTAATGTTTAATACAAAACCAATGTAAAGAACTTTGATCATTTCTAATGTTTAATACAAAACCAATGTAAAGAACTTTGATCATTTCTAATGTTTAATACAAAACCAATGTAAAGAACTTTGATCATTTCTAATGTTTAATACAAAACCAATGTAAAGAACTTTGATCATTTCTAATGTTTAATACAAAACCAATGTAAAGAACTTTGATCATTTCTAATGTTTAATACAAAACCAATGTAAAGAACTTTGATCATTTCTAATGTTTAATACAAAACCAATGTAAAGAACTTTGATCATTTCTAATGTTTTTATAAAATTAATACAAAACCAATGTAAAGAACTTTGATCATTTCTAATGTTTTTATAAAATTAATACAAAACCAATGTAAAGAACTTTGATCATTTCTAATGTTTTTATAAAATTAATACAAAACCAATGTAAAGAACTTTGATCATTTCTAATGTTTAATACAAAACCAATGTAAAGAACTTTGATCATTTCTAATGTTTAATACAAAACCAATGTAAAGAACTTTGATCATTTCTAATGTTTAATACAAAACCAATGTAAAGAACTTTGATCATTTCTAATGTTTAATACAAAACCAATGTAAAGAACTTTGATCATTTCTAATGTTTAATACAAAACCAATGTAAAGAACTTTGATCATTTCTAATGTTTAATACAAAACCAATGTAAAGAACTTTGATCATTTCTAATGTTTAATACAAAACCAATGTAAAGAACTTTGATCATTTCTAATGTTTAATACAAAACCAATGTAAAGAACTTTGATCATTTCTAATGTTTAATACAAAACCAATGTAAAGAACTTTGATCATTTCTAATGTTTAATACAAAACCAATGTAAAGAACTTTGATCATTTCTAATGTTTAATACAAAACCAATGTAAAGAACTTTGATCATTTCTAATGTTTTTATAATACAAAACCAATGTAAAGAACTTTGATCATTTCTAATGTTTTTATAAAATTAATACAAAACCAATGTAAAGAACTTTGATCATTTCTAATGTTTTTATAAAATTAATACAAAACCAATGTAAAGAACTTTGATCATTTCTAATGTTTTTATAAAATTAATACAAAACCAATGTAAAGAACTTTGATCATTTCTAATGTTTAATACAAAACCAATGTAAAGAACTTTGATCATTTCTAATGTTTAATACAAAACCAATGTAAAGAACTTTGATCATTTCTAATGTTTAATACAAAACCAATGTAAAGAACTTTGATCATTTCTAATGTTTAATACAAAACCAATGTAAAGAACTTTGATCATTTCTAATGTTTAATACAAAACCAATGTAAAGAACTTTGATCATTTCTAATGTTTAATACAAAACCAATGTAAAGAACTTTGATCATTTCTAATGTTTAATACAAAACCAATGTAAAGAACTTTGATCATTTCTAATGTTTAATACAAAACCAATGTAAAGAACTTTGATCATTTCTAATGTTTAATACAAAACCAATGTAAAGAACTTTGATCATTTCTAATGTTTAATACAAAACCAATGTAAAGAACTTTGATCATTTCTAATGTTTAATACAAAACCAATGTAAAGAACTTTGATCATTTCTAATGTTTAATACAAAACCAATGTAAAGAACTTTGATCATTTCTAATGTTTAATACAAAACCAATGTAAAGAACTTTGATCATTTCTAATGTTTAATACAAAACCAATGTAAAGAACTTTGATCATTTCTAATGTTTAATACAAAACCAATGTAAAGAACTTTGATCATTTCTAATGTTTAATACAAAACCAATGTAAAGAACTTTGATCATTTCTAATGTTTAATACAAAACCAATGTAAAGAACTTTGATCATTTCTAATGTTTAATACAAAACCAATGTAAAGAACTTTGATCATTTCTAATGTTTAATACAAAACCAATGTAAAGAACTTTGATCATTTCTAATGTTTAATACAAAACCAATGTAAAGAACTTTGATCATTTCTAATGTTTAATACAAAACCAATGTAAAGAACTTTGATCATTTCTAATGTTTAATACAAAACCAATGTAAAGAACTTTGATCATTTCTAATGTTTAATACAAAACCAATGTAAAGAACTTTGATCATTTCTAATGTTTAATACAAAACCAATGTAAAGAACTTTGATCATTTCTAATGTTTAATACAAAACCAATGTAAAGAACTTTGATCATTTCTAATGTTTAATACAAAACCAATGTAAAGAACTTTGATCATTTCTAATGTTTAATACAAAACCAATGTAAAGAACTTTGATCATTTCTAATGTTTAATACAAAACCAATGTAAAGAACTTTGATCATTTCTAATGTTTAATACAAAACCAATGTAAAGAACTTTGATCATTTCTAATGTTTAATACAAAACCAATGTAAAGAACTTTGATCATTTCTAATGTTTAATACAAAACCAATG